GGGACAGCTTCCTGACGGGACGAAGCCAGTCCAAGTTCCAAAACGGATTTGGCGAGCGCAAGTGAAAAATGTGTACGAAGAACCGGAGGCGGACTTGGACAGTCCCGCAACCCACGATTGGATGTTCGAAGAACACGGAAAGACGGTTATCAAACAAAAAGCACCAGTGCAGAGGCGTACAGACATGATAGAATGGAATGCCGACGAACACTTGGAGGAACTCGAGTCACAAGTGCAATACAGAGATTGTCCATGCAAATGGCAGCCCATATTTGACGCAATCTTGAAGGAATACTGGGACGTCTTTGCCAAAGAAGGGATGCAAAAACACATCCTAGGCTACGAATTCAACATCGACACAGGCACTATCCCCCCCGTATGCTGCAAGCAACCGAGATACGGGCCGCACGAAAGCCGGGTAATGACAAACCTGGTGGAACAACTAGAGAGCAAAGGACTCATTGAGGACGACTTCGGGCCATGGGGAGCGCAAGTAGTCCTGGCAGCAAAACCAAACCAAGGACACGTCCACTGGTCCCAATACATCTTCCGATTGTGTGTGTCATACCGCAAACTGAATGCAGTCACGAGACTATTCCACTTCTACATCCTGCGATGTGACGATGCAGTGGATACAGTTGGAGATGCAAAGTTTTTTATTACAATGGATTTGGACGCAGGCTACTGGCAGATCAAGATGGCTGCCTCATCAAAAGAGAAAACGGCGTTCTTTGTACCAGACGGCAAGAAGCACTTCCTAGTGATGCCAATGGGGATACTAAGCGCTCACGCATTCTTTGTCTGTGTAACCATTCAATTCAAGAAGGAATGGCACGAGTTGTACAAACGAGACCCAAAAGCAGCACTACAAAAACTACTGGACATCATCAACAAGCACAGAGCGGCCATCACGCTGATCCTGGGCGAAAGCGCCGTCAAGGACATTGAAGCAAAAGTGGCAATTGCTCTATTAGAAACAGACCCAAACGCATCAGTAATTGTCGACGACATCATGCTTTTCGACACCAACATCTTATCACTGATCGCATACTTTGTAGCCACACTTGAAATCCTCCAACGATACCGAGTGACCGTCAACCTAAGAAAAACGAGGTTCCTACCAGCACGGGCAGAATTTGTGGGACGTGACCTACTGCCCAATGGAAACGCCCCGGCACAATCCAAGTACTCGACGATCGAAAAGCTTTGCCCACCAGCATCATACTCGGACATCCAGATGATCAACGGACTATTTGGATGGTACTCCCAATGGATACCACATCTAGAGGAAAAGATCCAACGATGGAGGACCATGGTGATGGACAAACCAAAGCCCGGAGAATGCACAAAAGAAGAGGAAGCAGAACAAGTGAAAGCACACTTGGAACCGCAGGACGACAAAACGCTGGACGAACTCAAGCGGAACGATCGAAAACGCTATGGACGCACCAAACGAAAGCTACACGGGATATTTCAACGTGGCAAGGCTAGGACAAAACAGAGTCCACACGGTCAACTCACAAGGACACACACAAGAACATGAGATCTACGATGCCACCAAAATCTCCCCCAGCTTCCACACAACACCCATGATCTCAGCGCAAGGCACGATAGCAATTGCAACCAACGACGCGGAGGTAACATCGGAAGCCCTCAGCCTGTTCGGTTTCACAAAAGAGGAAAGCAGAAAACTGTTGTTTGAGGAGAAACTCAGTTGGAGAGAGACAAAAGAGACAATGAAGAGCATGGCACCACAACAGGTGTGGCAGCAAGTGTTCACTTACAGCATGTGCAAAAACATCCAGCGACAACACTTATTGGACAAAACAGAACACAAATTCTTGACAATGTACGCAAGACCAAAACAGGCCAAGAAACACCTAACAGCAATAGTCAGCAGATCCATCAACCCATTCACAACACTACCGATCCCAACCGGAGAAGACTGGCGCGAGAAATGCAATGGCGACCCGGACATCAGCCACATCATCAAGGCAATCCGCAACAACAAAAAGGTAGACAGATCAAAGCTCACAAACCCAACGTATGCCTCAGAACTCAACAGAGATAAGCTAGAGATTGAAAACGGCATCCTATACCAATTCGAAGAACCGAAGTCGGCACCAATGCGTCAACTACGACGAGCAGTCGTCCCACCAAGATTGAGAGCCACAATCATAGCAGCATACCACGCATCACCAATGGCAGGACACGTAGGGTTCCACAAGACGTATTACAGGATAGCCGCAAGGTTTTGGTGGCCCGGGATGGCAAAGGATATCAGAGAAGCAGTCCTAGGATGCGGACATTGCAATGCAGCCAACGCGTTGAGCCACAAAAACCAAAAGATTCTACAACGGACCCCAATAGAAGAACCATTTGACGTATGTTGCATGGACGTTTGGTCGCCAGGATCAACAAAGAACGCTACCAAACTGTCCACAACTTTGAGGAAGACACTCACAAACAAAGGAGTAGTCACTTACGTTTGCAACATGACAGGTTGTGCCACGGTCGCTTTCATCAGCTCCATGGACTCAGGAAACATGGCCAGAATAGCATTCTCGCAATTCTTCTCGGTCTGAGGCCTGCCACGATTGATCCTCATTGACGAAGGCAGCGAAAACAAAGACCAATTTACCGCCCTATGCGACACGATTGGAATCGCATACCACACGGTCAGTCCGGAAAACCACGACGGAATACTCTGTGAAAGATTCCACAAATACCTCAACAAGGTGCAACGGATCAGAGCAGCCGACATGAACACTTACGAAGAATGGGCAATGAACACCATGTTTGGAACATATGCATGGAATGCAGCCCCAGTAGATGGCACGGATATCCAACGAGCATTCGCCGCAGTGGCACAACAGCGGCATTGTCAATATCGGAGGAGCGCCAGAAAAACAGGACACGACACCAGCAAACTCCAGGACAGAACACACTAGAGCACATCGGGACAATGTTCCCACTCTTCTGGAGACAAAAGGAACTGCTTAAACTTCTCAATGAGGAACGAAGGGAACACCACAGAATGCTCAAGAATCAAACCAGAACGCGACGGAAATTTGAAATTGGAGACCTTGTTATGGTTCGGAAACAAGTACAATCAAACGCCTCTGCAGGAATACCAGCAAAACTGGTGCTAAGAACAAAAGGACCCTATAGAGTCATCGAGAAAGCGTCAGACGACTCATACAGACTACAAAAGATCCCAGGAACAAGCACCATGCTAAAGAAGCGAGGATTGACCCCAATCAAAGAATCAGCATTCAGAATGCACAAGATCCCATCAACGATAATACTTCACAAACGAGTGGACACACCAGATACAAGACTAGCAAACATGAGGAGCCCGCTAGCACACAGCCCCCTGGAAATGAATCTTGGACTGGTTGATTTTGGTAAATACGCGACAACACCGACAGACACAGACAACGCATTCGAGCCAATCAAAGACCTTTGGGACGAAGAGGTTGAGCCAACTGAAGATTCATCAGACGAAGAAGAAGACGACACCCCTACACCATCCATACTGGACGCTATGCAACGCATGCAGCCTTGGCCGATTAACCGAGACGTACCACCAACAGATACACAAGGTGCCAACCAAACCAGACAGGTCCATACCACAGAAACCATCACAGAAGAACTCAATCTACAGAGCGTATACGAACAAACCACACGATCCAAGGACAAATTATATGTCATAGCCCATCAAGACGACACATCAGGGTGGAACAACTGGTACGTGATACAAATCGACATGGAGGAGACCAACGAGAAACTAGCAAGAACAAAAGGACAGTATCACTGCAAGTGGTACATACCAAAACCCACCGCTACAAAGCAGGGCCCCCCAATGACCAGCCCCTTTTGGCCCCTCATCAAAGAATTTGCCGACGAGACAACATACGGCCCAACAGTACCTATCAGACCCAGCAAAGTCGACCAGGTGCTAAACAAGAGCCCGCACAAATACGCCTGGTACCAGAAAGAGGTCAACATTGTTGAAGATGGCGTGTACAGACCGTTCGATTTTGAACGAGACTACAAAATACCGGACGTGGTGTGGGAAAAAGTGAGAGAGGCGGCACCACAGATGAAACTAAAAGTGGCCAACATCACGCCCAAGTCAACACCACCAGGTAGAGCACACAAACGAGCGCGACACAAACGATAAACACAGCTAACAAGAACAAAAGAATAGACCCAAAACAAACCAAGCCTACAGACAATATACACCTCAAAAGCCCCAACGCTGACCCACAGATGACCCACAATAGCCCCTAGATAGCCCCGAACAAGTGGACCCAAGCCCCAGACCCAAAAGTTACTACAATCTGTCGCAGCAGACCATAGTACAAGTTGACCCAACAAAAAGCCGCCATCGACAAACTACTCCATGTCGCAGCATGCAGTACAAGTCATGACTGGCAGAGTAGCAGGAACACAAAGCCCCAAAGACGAAGGACCCGATATAGCAACCCCCATACCCCCCCAGAATACGTGTGTACAACGACTAAGATGAGGACTGATCCTCCTGCTCTGACCGTCGTACCGCGAAGCACCTAGTCAAACTTTGGACCTGGACGCACTTGAAGCCGCTCGCCAGCAACCTGGACGTTGGAGAGAATCCTGCAGCCCAATTTGCAATTGAGGGTTAGATGGCGATTTTTCTTCGGCTACCTTGTTCGGTGCCAGCAGCCGTTCATCAAGAAGAGGGAGGTGAAAACAGACCAAGATGAGACGTTACAACAGAGTCGCCTAAATAGAAGAAGAGGGGACGTAACGTGACTGACTGGACTGCCGAGTCCTGAGCAGATGTATTAGAGCGATCGAAGGCCAACGGTCATCGCCGAATATTCAGCCCAAGATCAATCTTTCATCATCTACTCACAGCTGCTTCAGACCCCCGTAAATACACCCCAATAGCAATATCAATCACCGTCTATCATGTCCAACAGTAGCTACATCAACGCACTAGTACGCTCTCTCTACGATGAGAGCCAGGAGCACAACGATAGCACGTTAAGCGTATTACTCCCGAGTCATCTAAGCTCTGTACTATCATCTTACCCTGGGGCAAATATAGTTACCAAAAACTGCCCATGGGCGCAATGCCCTCAGCTTACATTTTTCAAGAAGCTATGAATCGCCTCATGGAAGGCCTCGGCGACGTCTTAACGTACTTAGACGACGTCCTCTGTGTCACCAAAGGTGACTTTGACGACCACCTTCAAAGACTAGAACTATGTCTCCAACGGCTCCACAAAGCCGGCCTTAAGGTTAATTTACCCAAATCTGAGTTCGCAACTCAACAATTCAAATACTTAGGCTACTTGGTTTCACACCAAGGCATTCGCCCTCTTGCTTCGAAAGTGGAAGCGATTCAGCGGTTGAAACCCCCAAAAACTTTGAAACAATTATGCTCATTCCTTGGCATGCTCAATTATTACCGTGATATGTGGAAAAAACGCTCACACATGTTAGCTCCATTTACTGAACTAATCAAATCAAGCAAAAAAGGACGTCCATTAATATGGAAACAAGAACACACAGAAGCGTTCGAACATGAGAAACGAGTGATTGCAAAAGACACTATGCTTGCATTCCCTGATTTCTCCAAACCTTTCACAATACACACTGATGCTAGCGACTTCCAGCTCGGTGGAGTGATTTCCCAAGAAGGAAAACCCATTGCTCTCTATAGCAGAAAATTAAAACCTGCGCAAAGGAACTACACAACAGGAGAACGCGAAATGTTGTCAATCGTTGAAACATTACACAAATACCGCAACATCTTGCTTGGTCGCGAAATTATAGTATATACCGACCACAAAAATCATACAGACCCGAAAACCATTTCTCAATCCCCAAGAATCCAACGATGGAGATGGATCATTGAAGAATTCGGGCCAGACATAAGACATATCGATGGATCTGCCAATGCGGTCGCCGATTGCTTAAGTCGTATGGACGCAGACTTCACGACGAAATATGACGAATTCGACGAAGTCCAACTAGCTGAAAGGTTCGACATGGACTCGCTGGAAGGTTATAAGGCGGAGAAATATCAATTCCCCCTCGACACCGGTCTAATCGCAGAGTATCAAAAGAAAGATAAAACTCTAATGCGACATTTACAAAACCATCCAGAATACTTTTCCAAAGAGGTGCATGGCACCGAAATAATCTTATTCCACAAAAAGATTTATGTTCCTAAGCCACTACGACAGCATGTTCTACAGTGGTATCATGACATGTTACAGCACCCTGGCGTAACACGAACTGAGCGAACCATTCGCCAACACCTAACTTGGCCAGGTCTACGACACGACGTCGAGACTCACGTGAAGCATTGCCGCAAATGCCAACTATGTAAAAATCCAAAACTTAAATACGGCAAACTGCCAGTAAAAGAATTTACCTATAAGCCTTGGAACACCATTTGTGTCGATCTTATCGGTCCTTACACCGTATCTACAAAAGACGGAAAAGATATCAAACTACACGCCATGACGATTTGTGATCCAGCGACTGGATGGTTCGAAATTGTAGAAATTGATGACAAAAAGTCACTTACTACATCAACGATGCTCGACCGCGTATGGTTCTCACGATATCCAAGACCTCAAGAATGCATTTTCGACAATGGTAAAGAATTCCTTGGCGAAGAATTCCAAGAACTACTAAAAAGTTATGGAATCAAACCGGTCCCTACGACAGTCAAGAACCCTCAAGCTAATTATGTGGAACGGATCCACCAAACGCTCGGAAACATGCTCCGTACAAACGAATTAGAGGAATTCGACTTCGATTATAATGATCCTTGGACCCAAATCTTAAGCAACTGCGCTTGGGCTATTCGCTCCACTATCCATACTGTCATGGAAGCGACACCCGCTCAACTAGTCTTCGGTCGTGATATGCTTTTCGACCTCTCATTTAAAACGAAATGGCGCGATATTAAAAGCAAACGTTAACAAGCCGCAAATAAGAATAACGCGCGAGAAAACTCCAAACGCCAGCCACGTATATACCGCGTGGGTGATTTGGTCCTCCTTGATCGCGGCGAATTGCAACAAAAACTCCTGCCCAAACAAACAGGTCCATATCAAGTACTCCGTGTCTACGACAATGGCACAATCAAACTACGACGTGGCTTCTATGCACAACGCGCAAGTCTCCGACGATGCGTTCCTTACTACACCCCCATCAACGCTTGATTCCCCCATGGAAGCGAATGACGTACTCTCTACAGACCGTTGGTCATCCGGCCAGACCTCCAACGTACTTCCAGCAGACGTTACATCTTACGCTCTTTTCAACAGACGCTTTTGTTACACTCCTATCGGTTACTCAATATTCCAGGCCTAACTATTATTGGCCCTCCTAAGTACTTTGATTGTTACTGAATATTTCAGCACCGTTACTGAATATTTTGGGCCAAAGCTTGGCCAAACCAAGACTAGATAGCGCACCTAAAACCACTATTCTAATGCTCACAATTTCATTATCAACTGATATCAAATCCCTTTGATCTAGGTTAAGTCAAAGAATGTCTTTGTCCAAGATGAGTGGCCTTTCGTATTAACTTCCATACCACATGCCAACTTGGGGTCCCTTGGAACTGCTCTTCCCAAGTCAAGCAACCTGATTTCTGCTCAAGATCTCATTTGTGGTATTATCGTTTTGTTGATTTCTTCTTTATTGATGTTGTCAGGCTCTGGACACATAAGAACTATTACAAGCAATAAGCATCACTATAGAATAGATTACTACTAAGCTAGGCTACTACTTTCTGTTTTTTTCTTCTCACTGCAAAGAGTTCCTTATGGATATCGTTGATTTCTTCCTCATTGATGATTTTTTGTTTGGATCTCAGCGTAGTTCAAATAGTTGATGAATTTTAGCTCGCGAACAGCTTGGTAGATCCTAGGTCTGAAGGAGAAATTTATATCTCCATTACCGTATGAATACGACAAATTGATGTAGCGTGTTAATTGAAAAATATCAGTGCATGATCGTGAAGATTCAAAGTTCTCTGTAGATGAACCAGCTACAGAGAACTTTCTTTCTTCACGATCATCTGCAGACTTTTGTTATATAGAAGGTGGTGACGCGTTAATTGAAAATTCCCTGTAGATGATCGTGAAGACAAAAAGATCTCTGTAGATGGTCGTGAAAATTCAAAATTCTCTGTAGATGATCGTGGAACTTGTTAAGTAATACTTATCGGTTCAATTCCAC